GGTACAAGCTCTCCCTCCTCTGCGAGAACAGATCTGCACGTCCCCCCCGCCCCATAGCTAGCAATCCAAAACAGTCCAGTGGAGCCTGAGCAGTGGGTGTTGCCTTCTGACACACTTCCGGTGATGTCAGGGGGTGTGGCCTATGCAAATGAGTCATGCTAATGAGTTATGCTAATGAGCTCCTGCACCGCTTTTTCTACGAAATGACCCCTGGTAGTGACCATGAAGTCTCTTGCTCTGTTTGTCTCTGGCCTTGGAAAAACAGGGTCACCATAAGTCGGCTGCAACCTGATGGCACTCCCCCCCCCCCAGGACTCTCTCTTTGCCTCCCCCAGCACTTCCCTCGCAGTTTTTTAATCAAGCCGCCATTGTGAAGCCCCCCTCCTCTGTCTGTCACGTGATCACTTTGTCTGAGGAGCTCAGAGAGGCACACAGGGCTCTCCTCTGTTACGATTTCACAACAGCCCTGCAAGGTTGGCTATGCTGAGAGAGCCCCCACAAGGAGCTCCAGTGGCAAAGCGGGCTGTGCTGGAAAATCTCACAACTTGGGGCGGGGGGAGCAGGGAGTGTGTGATGGTCGGATCTGGGCCTCCACCTCTGCCTTCCCTTTGCAACCCCATCCCGGCTCTTTGCGGGCGCCCTCCAAGCACTCTTCAGACCTGTTTTGTTCTGCTTAACGTTCTGCAGGTCGCAATTCACGGTCTTGAGGGTGTTCCGCAGGCCGGTCACTTTGCCCTGGACATCAGACTTCACTGGAGAAGGCGGACAGAAGACGGGGGTGGTAAATTGCTGAAGGAGCCCCCCCCCCCAGCACCTTCAAAACGAGAACGAGGTTTTATTCCACAAAATCTTTGGCTGCAATAACAGGTTGTCAGCCTGCAAAGTGCCACTTGGCTCCCGTTCACGCCCCATCCGGAAGGCTGCCTTGAGATCAGAAACGCCCCCCAAATCCCCATGTCGCTGCCCCCCATGGGCGTGGCATAGTGCTGGCCCATGCCCTCCCTCCGCGGCCCCACACTAACCCACCTTGGTTCATCTCGTCAGTCAGGTGTTTCACCATCTCGTCCAACTTGGCCAGTTTCTTCAAGTCGTCTGTCTCTGCAATTAGGTTCAGAGGGCAACCACGTCGGCCGGCCGTAGGAGAGCCAGGTTTGAGTCCGATAGCATGCGAGAGACCGACAAGATTTTGGGGCAGGAGCTTTTGAAAGTCAGAAGCTTTGATTCTCAAAAGCTGATACCCTGAAAATCTTGCTGGTATCTCTAACTTGCTCCCGGACTCGCACAGAAGGGTTTGGAAGCCTCCTTCCACGCTGGCTCCCCTGCCCCGCCCTTCTGTTCCACATAATACTATTTCTCTAGTACCCTTTTGTTTTGCCCTTCCTCCGAGCAGTCCGGTGTGGCACACGTGGTTCTCTCCTCCCTATTTTGTCCTCACAGCAACCTAGCGTTAGGGTTGTTAGGCTGAGAGAGCATGCGACTGGCCCGAGGTCACCCGTGTGCTCCATGGCAGAGCGGGGACCGGAACCTGGGTCTCCCAGGGCCCAATCCGGCACCCTAACCACTCCATCCTTCACAGCAGCAATACGAATTCAGAGGTTCTGGAGCCACAAATGGCTTTTTGGCATGCCACCTGTGGCTCTTCTGAGCACTGTCCCCCCCCCCAACGTGGCACTGACTCACCCCCTGTTCTAGGGAAGGGGGCAAGGCCGTTGCCCAGTGGGGCGTGTGGTTAGCAGGTGGTTTACACCAATGCTCCCTGTAAGCTGTAGAGTCTTGTGAGCAAAAATTCTACTTTGTGAGCTTACTGGCATTAAAGTTGTGAGCGAGCGGTTTGGCTACTGCATAAATTAATTTGCTCTAGAGCCATCCTCCCTGAGCTGAGACGAAAATGCATGAGCTGGAGGCTAAACAACTGTGAGCTAGCTCACACTAGCTCAGCTTAGAGGGAACACTGGAC